GGTGTCTGGCAGCCTGCCTGCATTTATGATTGCAGGAGTGCTTCAACATCTCCCACCCTTGTCATCCTGCACTCTGCGTCCCCTGCCGCCCTGTGCTCCACCACTGCAGCTGGCCTTCGCCGTCTTCTTGCTCCTGCTGCTGAAGAGGCATGCCTGGCCTGGCTGCTGGGCTGGGCAAGGCCGGGCTTCGGCTGCGGAAAAAAAAGAAGCCAAAAGCAGCTCTAGAGCCACAGCACACCAAAACACCCCTTTGCGCCATGCTCCTGGGCGGGACGGGGCTGGGCTTTTGCTTTGTGCTGTGGGGGAAAAAAAAAGCCAAAAGCAGCCCCTGAGCAGCAGCACACCAAAACGCCCCTTTGGGTCAGGCTGGACCTTTGATGCTCCGCAGCTCTGGGACTGCTTTTGGGTTTTTTTCGCAGCTGAAGCTTGGCCCGGCATGCCTCGTCACCAGCAGGAGCAAGAAGATGGGGGAGGTTAGCTGGGGTGGTGGAGTGCAGGAGGACAAAAGGGCAATGGGGGGAGTTGAAGTGCTCCTGCAGTCATAAGTGCGGGTGGGCTGCCAAGCGCCCAAATTTTGATAACATGACCGCAGGGGCACTGCAACAGTCATAATTTCAGATACTAGTTGTAAGTCACCTTTTTCAACACATTCATAATTTTTGTCACTGAATGAATGGTTGTAAGTCAAGGACTACCTGTATGCAATCATTTGGTGCTGTATTGCAGGAACAGATTTTATTTGCCTTCTACTTGCTTTTAAACTGTACGCTCACCAAATGCTTCCAATTATGGAAAAGGGTGGGAACAATCCTCATGTCACCGCTTTTTAAGCAGGATCCTTAAAACTCACACAGTGTGTTGTAGATAGATTACCACTCATTCTGTAATTCAGACCAGTTTGCCGGAAATAAAGTCGGATCTGTTATCAAGATCATTATTATTTTGTCTCTTTTGACCATAGAAAAATGGTTGTCTGTTATATGCATAACAAAGGAAAAACTTAAGGCCAGAGTTTCCCAGAATAAGTAAAAAAAAAAAACCACATTGTGAAAAACAATCTCTGCTTCTCTTTAGACCAAGAAAAATGTCACAGATAAATATATATGCTTGATTCTGCCTCAAAAACCTTGACAGCAAAGAGTAATAAACTAGCTAAAGTTATGAGTTATACTTAAGGAAAGTGGCCTGCTACTTTCTTTTTAGACAATTATAAAATCAGAGGAAGTTGGATTCAGATCATAGGACCTCAATTCCTGGGAGAAAACCCCTTGTGAAATTACAAAACCTGTTACAGATTGAATTGTCTCCCATACACTTGGCTTTTCATAGAAGACTAACTGCCAAGAAGACCAACTTTGCTCAAATAGACTATCACTAAGGCAGACTTTATATTTTGCAGAGCAAAAATTTCAAGATCTTTGCTCCCTCGTGGATTACATTTTTTGACCATTTTCAGAGACCTGTTTGATTACCTTTTTGGAGCCAAGTTCCATCCCATCATTATAACTGTTGCTGAATATGCTATATATAGAATCCTCTCTCTTTTTTGGCTTTTCCTCTATCACAGTGTGGTAGTTACTCTGATAACTTGCAATACAGGCTGTTATATTGCCATATTTTTTTTCCAGTCTCCACTTCAGATCAAAGAGAGGAAGGCATTTCCAGAGCTGCTGATGTGGAAATGTGACAATGTTAGTCTTTTGCAGCAAAAGAAATAGTGTGATGACTGTTCTATGTCTTAACAAAAGTATTAGGTACAAGGTTTTATAAGTAAGTGGCTGTTTCAACATATGCACTGAATATTATTCTAGGACAAAGGAATTACAAAGGGAATTATAAAATAGAGAAGTCAAGGAGACATGAAAGGCAGGAAATACAAAGAAAGATGAATACCCGTTGATAATAGTCAATAGTTGTTGGGACTTTTCTGCATTAATAAATGTAATTTAGTAAGAAACTGTGGTCTCTACTTAAAATAATAGATTATACAGCTGAACATCCTTGTCAATTCTGGCTTATGTCTTTCACCATAAAACTGATCTTTGTGTAATTTTTTTGTTCGTGAATGATTACTTTGAGAACAGTCACAGAATATCCTGAATACAAATATTCATAATTTATATCTATTCGCATAGTAACAGGTCAAGTTATCTTATTTAGAGTATGGTATAGCATTTCTGATGAATAGATTGTATATATTAGAAGATGAGCAAATATATGAACTCCTCATATTGTCAAAATACTTGTGTGAATAGAGTTGGCAGCTGCGTCTATCACAGAATTTATTTCCTGTTGCTTCAATTCCAGTTTGCTTTAAAGTTCTGCAACTGTTTTTAAAAAGTGCAGGTTTATCATCCGAGATTTGTGAAAAGAAAGGGTCATTGCCCAGGATGGGATGGATGGCATTGATAATGAAATTTTGTTTTTGTTTTGTTTTGTTTTCTTTTTCAAGAGTATCTTTAGTAGTTTATAAGAGAATCTAGCCTTGCAAATATGTTTCTGTTTTATTTTTTTTCTGATAGAAAAAGTCTAATCAATAGGCATTGTAGTATGATTGATGCCTGATTTAGATTAGGTAATTGTGTATCAAACAGATATGATTGTATCGTAACGTTTGATAGTAAGCAACGGATTTGTCATGTTTTCTGGCTGAAAGCTGAAAGAGTGTAAGTATGTTGGCCCATTAATTCTCTGGAATCAAGAATTGAGTTTGACTCGAAGGTGACTTTACTTTTATGTGTATGTCAATTGATTTCCATGTAAAGTGGTACTTATATATCTATTATATATTGCTTCTTGGCCTTTTGTCTAAGATCAATTGTATTGTGTATTTCTTGCTTATCACTGTAGTATGTAACTAGTGGACCTGTTGCATGCATTGGTCTAGGTTCAGAATGAACGTTACTGACGTTCTGACAGTTTCCAAAGTCTTAGTGAAAGTAAACCTTTGTAAACTTGATCTTCAGTTTAAACTGTTCTCTAAATAGTTTGCTGCCAGTTGCAGAAAGAGTATGATCTAGAATGAAGGGACAGTAAACAGGACCTTTTACAAAATTTGGGGGAGAGTTTGGAAAGTATTACTATTGACAGTGTGGCTTGTGAGAAATGTTTGTGGTGTCCTGCAAGGTCTGTGCTAGTTTGATTTTTTCCCTTGAGTCTGGATACGGTTACACATTCAGGTACAAAAAGCTGGCAGCTCTGCTGGAAAGGAGCAACGAGGGGTTTACTTAGCTAGGAAGCTGAAAGTTTTGAGAAAATAGTAGAAGCACTTTTGTAACAAGGAAGGAGCAGTTTCTGAAAGGAAAAAAATAGGAAAAAGCGAAAAAAGGAACATAGGAAAAATAGACAAAGGGAACAAACTTGAAAAAATGTAACACACACAAGATCATTAAGAAGCACCGCCTGTCTTTGGAAGTGTGAAAGAACATTCTGTCTGTCTGTCTACCTGAGTATCAAGGCATACCCAGTAAACTCTGAGGGTGGTAACTCCATAGTGCTGGCCTACGGCATTGTGGAAAAGTAAACCCCTCGTTGCTCCAAATAAATTCCCCTTATTTGGAATGGGATGGAATTTTGCCAAGCCATATTAAGCCACGCGACTCCAATTTTTCTTGTGCCGCTGGTACCATGAAAAGAGACCTATTGAGCTGCTTTCCTTGAAAAAAGGGGAATATTACAGCCTCCCCTGTTTCTGCAGCAAAGCAATTTCAGAAGGAAGGTGGGAAGCAACCTATCTTTTCCTACATGCATGATGGAGAAAAACAGGTACGTACATATATGTTGGGAATGTACCTTTGTGTATGTGCAAACACAATTTCTGAAGATCTGGCCTGGCACTTGATTTGGACCTAAATCCTCCCATTTGAAGCCTCCTCCCATTTGAAAGTATTAAGCAGTGGGATGGATATAAGAGCAAGGGATAAATACAAGTTCACTTTTATTTTGTACAATTCAAGGCGACATCCATAATACTTCTTCCTCCTATTTTCCCCACAACAACCCAGTGAGGTGGGTTGGGCTGAGAGAGAAGATACTGGCTCAAAGTCACCCAGCCAGCTTCTGTGGGAGGACTAGAACTCACAGTGTCCTAGTTTCCAGTCCAGCATCTTAGCCACTATACCAAACTGACTCTCAGTTAGACTTTGCAATTAATCTTGATCACTTAAAGGTTGGTTTAGTGTTAGCTGACAATGGCTTAATAGTATAATACAGTTACTTCATGATCGCACAGGTGTACTAGAGCAATCTAATGTTCTGTACCCAATTTAACAATTTAACAGTGGCATTGCTATGTCACCATAAAGAGCAATTGCAGAAAAGTGACTTAGCCAGAACTGCCAGAAACATTCCACACAACTCAAGCAATTGGCAGGCAACCTTCTAACACTGAATTAAATAAAATAGTCTACAAAGAGTCTCTCATTATTCTGACAAGACATAAGCTACTGAAAGGTCTTAGGAAGCTTAGAGAAGCCTTCTACACATTGGTGTTCAGCTCACTTCAGAGTTTTATGATTCCTTCCAATAATTCCATCTCCAACTATATATAGTGCTATAGTGTACAATTTATGAAAATTATCAAGAATATGCAGATACAGTTGTTATTAAAGTATTTTTTCACATTCTTGTTGATAGGAAAGTTTTGTTTAGAAAATTTTCCATCACTGTATGGGAAAGTACTTAGATAGAAATAGAATTTAACAGTGCTCTTATTTAGTCAGAAAAACATAGAATTATAATAATACATTCTGTTAATGCATGTAGGGAGTAAAGAAAATGACCTTGACAGAGATATTTTGCAAGATCCATTACTAGGGCAATTAGGGGTGATTTCTTGGTCTGGCCTACCTAGTGGGGCTGAGAGTGGAACTAAAGCAAGCCTGATTTGAGGACTAGCAGATTTCAGCAAAGCATGCAACCCAAGTATGAAAACATTTATTTTTTCTTCAACAATTACTAGAGAAAAGTGGGAGACTGAAAGAACCATTTGAAGAGTTCATTGAAGAATGTCCTGATCTGATTTACTGATTTCTGAGTTACTGATTTCTGTTCAGAGATTTTGTGTGTTATGTTTGTCGGTACTTGGAAATGATTAAAAAACTCAAAGTAGAATATCAATAACTCTGCCATACATTCGTCCTTAGCCACTTCATTTTATGAGATTGAAAATGAAAGATGAATGCTATGTCTGCTGATACAAAGGTGTACAATCCAATGTTCTCAAAAAGATAGGAAAGGCCTTTTGGACAAACAAGAATTATTATTTGGAATGACTCCTTGAGGTTTTGGCAATCTGTGGGATCTTTAGAGAGTTTACATGTACAAATGTCACTAATTACACCTAAACAGCAGTGTAAAAAGTGATCCCACAACATCCTTAGTTGGTTCAGTAGTACAGTAATCACAACAATCTGTATGTTATCTACCAGATATGCATGTTGTCTTATAACTACAGTCAAGTTATTAGTCTTTGCAGAAAATGATTGAGTAAAAATAATAATTCTCCAATTCCTGTACAAGTAAACAAGTAGTAAAATAATAAACATGCACCAATTTATATATAGTCCTATTAGCATATTTAGCTATATTAGTAAATAGCAGATAAAAATGTGTATAATAGAATGGCCATTCCTCCCCAAATTAAGTACATCCATACGTGGTCCTGAAGCTCATACAAGGTTCTGTGTTCATCTCCATTGGGAGGATAGGGAGGTGTTCATAGTAAATTTTGGATTACAGTGGTACCTCGGTTCACGAACTTAATTCGTTCCGTGACTCTAGTCGTGAACCGAATTGGTCATGAACCGAATCAAATTTTCCCATAAGGTTCAATGTAAATAC